ATAATTGTCTTTGAATCTCAGTTTGCTCCATTGTAAAAACAGGAATAATGACACTTGTGCTATCTGCCTCCTGGTTTTTGTAAGGATCTAAAGAAACTATTTTGCAACCACTAAGTACCATATAAATGTGCACTACAAGAACTGATAGTTTAGCAGCATTCCAAAGTGCAAAGTATAAAAGTGCAAAAAACCTTTATAAAAATTTTCCTCATAAACCATTCCTATGGATTATATAAATAAAATTTGCATTTTTGCACTCATATTGTCTAACACCAACCCCCTCCATATATATACTGATCTGCTCTGTAGGTCTCAATGACACCAGAAAAAGAAAAAAAAAATATCGGCCTTCATCAAGTATTCACTGCATAATCATAGATCTCTATAAAACCAGATTTCAATTACATTTTTAAAAGGGTAGGGGCAGGGAGAAGAGAATGGAAAAGCACAGAAATATTGCTGGCATCTTGATTTACAAAGAGCTTTACATGTATTATGTCCTGTGAGCCTCACAACAATACAATGAGGTAGGTACTACTGTTATCCCCCTTTTCGTTGTTGTTGTTGAGTTGTTCAGTTCTGTGCAACTCTTTGTAACCACATGGACCATAGCAGTCAGGCCCTTCTATCCTCCACTCTCTCTCAAACTCTGTTCATGTTCATGTTCATTGCTTCCATTACTATCTATTCATCTCATCCTTTGCCATCTACTTCTCCTTTTGCCTTCAATCTTTCCCAGCATCAGGGTCTTTTCCGATGAGTCCTGTCTTCTCATTATATGGCCAAAATAGTTAAGTTTCAGCTACCAGTGAATAGCCTGAATTAATTTCTTTAAGTATTGACTGATCTGACCTCCTTGCTGAACAAGGAACTCTCAAAAGTCTTCTCCAGCACCACAATTCTTAAGCATCAATTCTTTAGCATTCATCTTTCCTTATGGTCCAACTCTCACAGCCATACATTGCTACTGGAAAAACCATAGCTTTTACAGATGAGGAAACTGAAGCCTAGAATCATATGGTAGGTCTATGAGGCAGGATTTGAACTTGGGTTTTCCTGACTCCAAGCCCTAGTTTTCTATCCTTTATACAACCTGGAATTGCACTCATCTCTACCGTGTAAACTATAGGAAATGTCCTCTTATCAGCCATGTAGCAGGATGGGTCTGTTGATTGTCATTCTCACCAGGCAAACAAAGGCCAGGCTTCAACCTGGTAAAGTGAAGCAGGTGTCATTACAAAGTAACAGCTAGCATTTATAGCTTTAAAATTTGCAAAGCACTAATTTCATTTGATTTTCAAAACAACCTTATGGGACAGGTGCTATTATTGTCCCCATTTTACAAATAAGAAAACTTAGGCAGACAGGGATTAAGTGACTTATTCAGAGTTGGCACAGCTAGTAAGTGTCTGAGGCAAGATTCAAACTCAGGTCTTTCTGACTCCAAATGCAACACTCCATCTACTATGCCACCTAGTCTTAATTCTACCTCTCCTTCAGCATCCCATCACTGGTCACACTGCTCTACCTTGTCTTAAGAAAGCACCAGAAGGTAATTAATATCAAGGATCTCTCTCTTGGGATAGACAAACTGATTGTTTTGCTTTTTGTTTTTTGTTTTTTTTTTATTTGATGTGTAATTTCATGAGTATAAGAAGCTCCTCTACCAAAGCAGATCCATAACTTCTAGGCAACTTAGTGTTCGGAGCAATGAGTGGTTAAGTGATTTGCTCAGTACCACACAGTAGGTGTTCAAGGCAACCCTTGAACTTGGGTCTCCTCGACTCTGAATCTAACTCTCAATATATTACTCTGTAATTCCTCTCATGAAATACAAAATTGACATCGATTGCAAAACTTTATTCAAAACACCTTTGGACATAGGCTATCTGTGGACTAATGGAAAAGCAGGAGAAATAAGAGTCTATGTGCCCAAGAGGCAATGGGCACAGAATAAAAACCAGAATCCTAGGACCTTGGTTCACAACCCCAGTCTTCCACTTAAGACTTTTGTGACCTTTGGTAAGTCATTTAATCCTTAAGCCTCAGCTGCTTCACTTTACTAGGCTGAAGCCTGGCATCTGTTTGCCAGGTGAGAATGGCAACCAACAGACACATCCTGCTACATGGCTGATAAGAGGACATTTCCTGTGGTTTACACAGTAGAGATGAGTGCAATTCCAGGTTGTATAAAGGATAGAAAATTGGGGCTTGGAGTCAGGAAAACCCAAGTTCAAATCCTACCTCATATACCTACCATATGATTATAGGTTTCAGTTTCCTCATCTGTAAAAGCTACAGTTTTTCCAGTAGCAAAATGTAAAATGTAAAATGTGACTGAACTAGATCAGTGGTGTCAAACTTACTTTAAAAAAAAAAAGCCCTATGGGTGGCTTAGAAAATTCCAAATTAATATCATATACCTTATGCTATATTTTTATTTAAACATTTAAACATTAAATATTTAAACATTTTTCTCAATTATATTTTCATCTGGTTCTGGCCACATAGGAGTTTTGCAGGCCTCTTATACAGAACACACAGGCTGTGAGTATGACAACTCTGGACAATTCTAAATCTATGATTCAGTCCTGCCTCTGACAGACTTACTCTCTTTACGACCCTGGGCAAGTCACTTTATTTCCCTGATAGCATCTGTGCTTCCTTCCATGACAAAATCCAGAATTCCATGATTCTCTGATTCCACACAATGTTCCTATATATCATCCCATGCCTTCTTTCTTACTGTCAAATGTCATGAGAATTATCATATAGGAGAGTGGTTCTCAAATTCTGTGGCCTCAGGATGCTTTTACACTTTTAAAAATTATTGAGGACCCCCAAAAAACTTTTGTTATGGAGATGATATTTATTGTGTTAGAAATGAAAACTGATAAATTTTTAAAATATTTGTTAATTCATTTCAAAATAACAATAAACCCATTTAATGTTAACATACTATATTTTTATGAAAATAGCTATATTTTACAAAATAATTACTGATTAGAGTGGCATTGTCATATATTTCAACAAATCTCTTTAATGTCTAGCTTAACAGAAGACAATTGAAATCTCCTGGATACTACTGCATTCAATCTGTTATGATATATTGTTTTGGTTGAAGTCTATGAAAAAAATCTGGCCTCACATATGTAGTTGGAAAAGGGAGGGGTATTTTAATAAATCCAAAAAGCTTTGTATTATTATGAAAATAGTTTTGACCTCAGGAGGCACCTAGATAGCTCAGTGGATAGAGCACTGGGCCTGGAGTCAAGAAGACCTGAGCTCAAATCTGGCCTCAGCACTTACTAGCTGTGTGACCCTGGGCAAGTCACTTAACATCTGTTTTCCTTAATCCACTGGAGAAAGAAATGGTAAATACTCTGGTATCTTTGCCAAGAAAACTCCAGGGACAATATTGGCATGCTATGGTCCTGAAGAATCACATACAGCTGAACAACACAAAAATTTTTAATTCATGGAACCCCTAGAAGGGATTCTATGGACCTTCAGGAGTCTGTGGATCATATTTTGAGAACCACAAGTTTAGAAGATGCATAAAACAACATAACCTGATGGACTAAGGATTGAAATAATTATAGAGTGAGAAATCAGAAAAAACGAGGACTAGAGAAGGGAAGTGACTTTTCCAAGATCACAGAGACAAATGATAGATAGGTTGGCAGGTAGGTACACAGAAAGATAGACAGCACTTTTATTAATTCTTACTATGTGAGAGGTATGGGCAGCTAAGTGGTATTGCGGATAGAACACCTGGCCTGGAGTCAGGAAGATTCATCTTCCTAACTTCAAATCTGGCCTCAGATACTTACAAGCTGGGTGACCCTGGGCAAGTCACTTAACCCTGTTTGCCTTAGTTTCCTCATCTGTAAAATTATCTGGAGAAGGAAATGGCAAACCACTCCAGTATCTTTGCCAATAAAATCCCAAATGAAGAGTAGGACATGACTAAACAACAAAATGTGCCAGGTATAAACAAAAAGAAAGGCAGTTCCTGGCCTCAAGTAGCTTATGTTCTATCTGAGAAAGACAAAACATAAAAGGGAACTGAAAAGTCTGGAGAGGGCTGATAGAGTGGGAAAGGTATCTTTGAGGGAGCTAGGTGGAGAGCTGGTTTGGGGCAATATATAGAACTAGAAGGACTATCCAAAATTAAAACTCCAGTCTCTTAAATCCAGAGTTATTTCATTTTTAAAAATGAGCATTAAGGATTCCCTCAGATATGTGAATTTGGTAGGTGGGGAAGATAGGCAGCTGCTGAGCCCTCAATGTCTGAGAGGGTGCAACATGGGAAATATTTTAATATTACCTTCTGTAAATGAATATAACCTCATTGCCAAGAAATCCTTATTTCCATGGCCCCTAGATATTTATTCTATGATAAGTCAAGTGTCATGCATTATAATGAAGGCTCAAAGTTTCTCCTGGACAGTAACATGTGGTCTAGCACAATTTCAGAACCTTGCTTAGGGTGCACAGATATCTTGTCCTAATCATGCAATATATCATCTGCAGTCCTTTCTAGAGATTGGAATTCATTATCTAAATGACTTCACAGAGCAAGTCATTGTATATACCACAGGACGGAGATGAACCATGTTAAAAACATTTTGCAAATCTTAACAGCTACATTTTGTGTACTCTTCTTGGTATGTGAAATCATGCTGCTAACTCACCATGCCTTCTTGGCTGATTTTCCAATAGAGATGTTTTACATTGAGTTATCATCCACAGGTGGATTTTTTTTGTGTGATTTGTTTTGTTTTGCTTATGGCCTTATCCCTTTTCACTAAGCATACTTGGTCAAGCATTTCTATTACAGTAGAAGACACTGAGATTAAGGGTGAAGTCCAGGGCTATGGAACCAAAAATGGAATTGTTGTACTTAAGGTCACTGGTTGCACTTAAGGTCACTGGCCTCATTAGTACCATTCTCTAACCACTTCAGCCAATTGCTCCAAAAAGCCATAATTACTGACCTGATGGGTCCATTTCTGTCCTCTGCTTTCCACAGACTCAGGGGTGGTAAAGGAGCTCCTTGTACTGCAATAAATTCAATGTCTGGAATGGGAGGCTCTGAAATAAGCAAGTGAAAGAAAGCATGTGTTCATAAAAGGGCTTTCACTGAAAAAAGAGAGATTAGATTTGTAAACAAGCAAACACCAACACCAGGACCCCCCATGTACCTTAGCATAGCCAGGGGAACCATGGACTCCAGCTCAGAGAACCACCACATGCGCTGCACAGAACCAAGCAGGCAGGCATCCTCCAGCAAACAAACCTCCCCATGCTTCAGCACAGCCCCGAAAAAACACAGAGAAACTCCACCTGGCACATATCAGACACAACCACTAGGACCCCAGCTCAGCACCAGGTAAGCTGCCAGACCCCTACAGCCTCCAGCTGCCAGCATCTGAGGCCTGAGCACACAAAGCCAGCGACCAGGCCCTTGGCCCCCAGCACAAGAAGTTCAGGATAGTGCCCCCTGTGCTCCAGCAAGAGAGCTCAATTTTAAAAGCCAGGAAATAGGCAAACAGAATGAGCAAAAAGCAGAAAAGAACACTGACCATAGAGAATTATTATGGTAACAGGGAAGATCAAAACACAAACTCAGAAGAGAACAACATTGTCAATATACCTACATCTGAAATCTCAAAGGGAAATATCAATTGGTTCGAAGCCCAAAAAGCCTTCTTAGAAGAGTTCAAGAAGGATTTTAAAAGTAAAAAAAGAGAAGTAGAAGAAAAAATGGGAAAAGAAATTAGAGTTATGCAAGAGAGAGTCAATAGTTTGGAAAAAGAAGGACAAAAATTGACTGAAGACAATAACTCCTTTAAAAAATACAATTGAGGGGGCAGCTAGGTGGTGCAGTGGATAGAGCACTGGTCCTAGATTCAGGAGGACCTGAGTTCAAATCCGGCCTCAGACATGTAACACTTACTAGCTGTGTGACCCTGGCCAAGTCACTTAACCCCATTGCCTAGGCCCCCCCCAAAAAAAATACAATTGGCTAAATGAAAAAGGAGTTACAAAAATGCACTTTAGAGAAGACCTCCTTAAAAAGTAGAATTGGTCAAATGGAAAAGGAGGTACAAAAGCTAACTGAAGAAAACAATTATTAAAAATTAGAATTGGGCAAGTGGAAGTTAGTGACTCTATGAGACATCAAGAATCAGTCAAACAAAATCAAAAGAGTGAAAAAATAGAAGAAAATGTAAAATACTTCATTGGAAAAACAACTGACCTGGAAAATAGATCCAGGAGACATAAGTTAAGAATTATTGGTCTACCTGAAAACCATGATCAAAAAAAGAGCCTGGACAGTATCTTTCAAGAAATTATCAAGGAAAACTGCCCTGAGGTCCTAGAACCAGAGGGTAAAATAGTCATTGAAAGAATCCACTGATCACCTCCTGAAAGAGATCCTAAAATGAAAACTCCAAGGAATATTGTATTCAAATTCCAGAGTTATCAGGTCGAGGAGAAAATGCTGCAAGCAGCCAGGAAGAAACAATTTAAATACATGGAACTACAGTCAGGATTATGCAGAACCTAGCACCTTTTATATTAAAAGATGAGAGGCTTGGGATATGATATTCCAGAAGGAAAAGGAGCTTGGATTACAGCCAAAGATCAACTACCCACCAAAATTGAGCATAATGTTTCAGAGGAGGAGATGTACATTCTGTGAAATAGGGGACTTCCAAACCTTCCTGATGAAAAGACTAGAGCTTGGGGCAGCTAGGTGGCACAGTGGATAGAGCACTGGCCCTTAAGTCAAGAGGACCTGAGTTCAAATACGGCCTTAGACCAAACACTTGACACTTACTAGCTGTGTGACCCTGGGCAAGTCACTTAACCCCAATTGCCTTGCCAAAAAAAAAAAAAAAAACCAGAGCTCAACAGAAAATTCAATCTTCAAATACAATACTCAAGAGAAGCATAAAAAGGTAAACAGGAAAGAAAACAATAACAACATGGTATTCAATAAAGGTAAACTGTTTACATACCTACATGGGAAGATGACACTTGTAATTTTTGAGAACTGTATCATTATTATATTTTTAAACGGGTATACATAGACAGAGGGTGTGGGTATAAGTTGACTTTGATGTGATGACAAAATTAAATTAAGGGGTAAAAAAAGGATTATACTAGGAGAATAGGAAAGGAGGAGACAGAAAAGGGTAAATTATATCATATGAAATAGCACAAATACCTATGGATGGAAAGAAGGGAGGGAGGAGAGCATTGTTTGAACCTTACTCTCATTGGATTTGGCTCAAAGAGGGAATAACATATACGTTCACTTGGGTATAGAAATCTATCTTACCCTATAGGAAGTAGGAAGGGGAAGGGGGGAAAAGGGGAGGTGGATGGATAGAAGGGAGGGCAGAAGGAAAAGAAGAAGTAGTAGGGGAAAGGGGAAAGAAAAGGGAGGGGATTGATAGAACAGAAGGCAGATTAAGGGAGGCAATGGTCAGAAGCAAAACACTAGGGAGGAGTGAAAGGGAAAAATGAGAGAGAAAAATATAAATGGGGAAGGGAATAGGATGAAGAGAAAGACACAGTTAGAAATCATAACTGTGAATGTGAATGGGATGAACTCTCCCATAAAACAGAAGTGAATAACAGAGTGGATTAAAAACAATAATTCTACAATATGTTGTTTATAAGAAACACATTTGAAGCAGAGAAGTATAAGCAGAGTGAAGGTAAAAGGCTGAAAGAGAATATATTATGCTTCAGCTGAAGTAAAAAAAAAGCAGGGGTAGCAATCCTGATTTCAGACAAAGCAAAAGCAAAAATAGATCTAATCAAAAGAGATAAGGAAGGCAACTACATTCTGCTAACAGGTACCATAGACAATGAAGTGATGTCAATATTAAATGCATATGCACCAAGTGGTATAGCATCCACATTCTTAGAGGAGAAGTTAAGTGAGTTACAGGAAAAAATAGACAGCAAAACTATACTAGAGAGGGACCTCAACCTCCCCCTCTCAGAACTAGATAAATCTAATCACAAAATAAACAAGAAAGAAGTTAAGGAGGTAAATAAAATCTTAGAAAAGTTAGATATGTTAGGCCTCTGAAGAAAACTGAATGGGGATAGAAAGGAATATACCTTTTTCTCAGCAGTACATGGCACCTACACAAAAACTGACCATGTATTAGGGCATACAAACCTCACAATCCAATGCAGAAAGGCAGAAATATTAACTGCGTCCTTTTCAGACCATGAGACAAGAAAAATTACATGTAATAAAGGGCCATGGAAAAATAAACTAAAAATTAATTATAAACTAAATAATCAATCCTAAAGAATGAGCAAGTCAAACAACAAATCACAGAAATAATCAATAACTTCATCAAAGAAAATGACAATAATGTGACAACATACCAAAACTTATGAGATGCAGCCAAAGCAGTTCTTAGGGGGAATTTTATATGTCTAAATTCTTACATGGATAAAATAGAGAAAGAAGAGATCAATGAATTGAGCATGCAACTAAAAAAGCTAGAAAAAGAACAAATTAAAAATCCCCAATTAAATACCAAATTAGAAATTCTGAAAATCAAAGGAGAAATTAAGAAAATTGAAATTAAGAAAACTATTGAGCTAATAAATAAAACTAAGAGCTTTTTTATGAAAAAATAAAATAGATAAATCTTTGATTAATTTTATTTTAAAAAAGGAAACCAAATTACCAGTACCAAAAATGAAAACGGTGAATTCACCACAATGAAGAGGAAATTAAAACAATAATTAGGAGCTATTTTGCCCAACTGTACGCCAATAAATCTGACAGTCTTAGTGAAATAGATGAATATTTACAAAAACATAAATTGTCCAGATTAACAGAAGAGGAAATAAAATATTTAAATAGCACCATTTCAGAAAAAGAAATTGAACAAACCATCAATGAACTCCCTAAGAAAAAATCTCCAGGATCAGATAGATTTACAAGTGAATCCTACCAAATATTTAAAGAACAATTAATTCCAATACCACATAAACTATTGGGAAAAATAGGTAAAAAAGGAGTCCTACCAAATTCTTTTTATGATACAAATATGGTGCTGATACCTAAACTAGGACGAGTCAAAACAGAGGAAGAAAATTATAGAAAAAAAAGTATTAAGAAAAGTATTTCCCTAATGAATATAGATGCAAAAATTTAAAATAAACTATTAGCAAAGAGATTACAGCAACTTATCACAAGAATAATACATTATGACCAGGTGGGACTTATACCAGGAATGCAGGTCTGATTCAATATTAAGAAAACTAACAGCATAACTGACCATATCAACAACACAATTAACAGAAATCATATGGTTATTTGAATAAATGTAGAAAAAACTTTTGACAAAATACAATACCTATTCACATTAAAACACTGGGAATTAATGGAGTTTTCCTTTAAATGATAAGTAGCATCTATCTAAAACCATCAGTAAGCATTATATGTAATGGGGATGAGCTAGAAGCATTTCCAATAAGATCAGGGGTGAAACAAGGATGTCTACTCCTATTCAATATTGTACTAGAAATGTTAGCTTTAGCAATAAGAGAAGAAAAAGAAATTGAAGGAAGTAGAATAGGCAATGAAACAAAGCTATCACTCTTTGCAAATGATATGATGGCATACTTAGAGAATCAAGTAAAAAACTACTTGAAATAACTAACAACTTGAGCAAATTTGCAGGGCATAAAATAAACCAACATAAATCATCTGCACTTCTATACATTACTAACAAAGAACAGGAGAAACTCCATTTAAAGTAACTGTAGACAATATAAAACATTTGGGAGTTTACCTGCCAGAACAAACCCGGGAACTATATGAAAACAATTACAAAACACTTTTCACACAAATAAAGTCAGATCTAAATAACTAGAAAAACTTAAATTGCTCATGGGTAGACTGAGCTAATATAATAAAAATGAAAATTGTACCTAAATTAATTTACTTATTTAGTGCCATACCAATCAAACTACCAAAAATTATTTTACAGAACAAGAAAAAATAGTAACAAAATTCATCTGGAAAAACAAAAGGTCCGGAATAT